TGGCCTTGGGCCTCTACCAGACAGGCCCGGAGCACCTCACTAGAGAGCCCGAGATTGACTGGTTAATCGTCAGCTTCAGCTGTTAGTTCAGCCTCTCTTAACCATGACAGACCAGTAAAATGTTTGCACAACTTCTTGATGAAGCTAACAGTTCCACATCATGTATAAAAAGCAGAGATGCAATGCTGAGGTCACCAAATTGGACACCCTCCACCCCTCCATAAAAATTATGAACAGAATCAGTGACAAAGGGCAGCCCTGGCAGGGTTCCAAACTCCTGCTCCGCCTATACAGGGACCTAATGGGCCAAAGCAGCAGGCCTGGCACTCCATATTCTCAAAGCGCCTCCTACAGGAACCCCCGAGGAACACAGTCGTATGCCTTTACGAAAAAACAAACAAAACACATGTGGACTGTTTGGACAAACTCCCATGAATCCCTCAGTATTCTTGTAAGGATACCGAGCTGGTCCAGTGTTCCATGGTTGGGACAGAATCTGTGTTGTTGACCCAGATCTGAGGTTTGACCAAAGGATGGTTGCTCTTCTACAGTGACCTTGCCACGGAGGCTGAGGAGTGTGATCCCCCTGAGTTTGAAACACATTCTCTGATCCCCTTTCTTAAAAATGGGGACCACGTCAGTCTGCCAGTCCAGAGGCACTGTCCCCAACGTCCATAGAGTGTTCAAGAGGCCTATCATCGAAGACAACCTAACAGCAACAAGAGCCTTCAGGAATCTCACCCACCCGCGGAACTACTGAAGAAATTTCTGACTGCCTCGGTGACCTTTGACCTTTGTCCTCCAGCTCTACTTCCTCCAAGGAAAGTGTGTCAGTGGGATTCAGAAAGCCCTCAAAATATTCCTTCCACTGCCAAACTATTCCCCCAGTTGAGGTCAACAACACTCCATCCCTGCTGTAGACATCATGGCAAAGCCCTATTTCCCCCTCCTGAGTCATCTGACAGTTTGCCAGAATCTCTTACCGGCCGAGCACAAATCATTTTCCATAGCATTACTGAACTCCTCCCCCACTTGAGTCTTTGATTCCGTAACTGCCAAAGCCGCATTGCGCTTAACCTGCCGGAAACTGCTGCTTCCTGTGTCCTAACCAAAGTCGGAAGGCCTCTTGCTTCAGGGTTATGGTTTCCTTTACCACTGCTGTCCACCACTGGGTTTGGGCACCAACAACCTTGCAACCACAGCACTGCATATCTGCCTCAGCAATGGAGACGTGGAAATTCTGCTGTAGAAAATCCCCTGAACAGGGACCTCTGCCAGATGCTCCCAGCATAACCTGACAATACATTTGGGTCAGTTAGGTTTGTCTGGCATTTTCCTCCGCCATCTGATCCAATTCTCTGCCAGGTGGTGATCATTTGACAGCCTAGCGCCACTCTTCAGCCGAGTGTCCAAAACATATGGTCACACATTCGGTGATAAGATATTAAAATTGATCATCAATCTGCAGCCTGGGATGCTCTGGTGCCAGGTGCGCTTATGAACGCCCTTATGCTTGAACAAAGTTGTGCTGTGCTGTGTTGTGTATGGACACACTGTGGTTAGCACAGAAGTCCAATGTCACTGCCCAGGTTCAGATAGGACAGGCCATTCCTTCTAATCATTCCCTTCCAGGTTTCACTGTCTTTACCAAAGTGAGCGTTAATGTCCCCCAGCAGAACAATGGGGTCCCTAGTGGGGGCACCTTTCAGCCCCCCTCCAAGGTCTCCAAGAAGACCAGATAATCTGAGCTGGTGTTCGGCACAGACAACAGTCAGAGCCCGTCCCCCGAATCGAAGTCAAAGGGAGACGACCCTCGTTCACCAGGGTAAACCCCAACGTACTGGCGCCGAACCAGGGGGCTATGAGTAAACCAACACCTGCCTGGCGCCTATCACTAGCGCAAGCTCCATTCCCCTCGTCTTAGGCCAGTTTTGGTAGCCGGGGATCGGTCCGCCAAGGCCTCTGCCTTTGACTGCTGACCGACCCACAATGCACCAGATCCTTATGGCTCCTCCTTCAGGTGGTGGCCCCACTGGAGAACAGTTCCATTTCGCTCATTTGGGCTGTACCCAGCTGGGCCACATGGGTGAAGGCCTGACCACCAGGAGCCCACTGATGAGAACCCCTGCTCCCCACCAGGTCTGGCTCCAGGACAAGGCCCCGGTATCCCTTTTCCAGGCATAGTTTCTACTTCCTTGTTGTTGGGTTCCATAAATGGTATTTGAATCACCCTTAGTCTGACTGCTCACCTAGGAGCTATTTGCCATGTAAGACCCTGCCAGGGGCAATTATTCCAGACAACATTACTCCAAGGATCATTGGAACATGCAAACTCTGTCGCCACGCTAAGGTGGCAAGTCATGGAGGGGTTTACTTTATTTTTCGATCATATTCATTAACAGATTAATGTGCTAGAACATCTTGATTTTGTTTTTATAGCAGAAATGCAAAGCTTTGTTTATTTTTCCAGGACGGTTGGAATAACTAGTTCATTTGTTTTGGACCATTGAAGCTCCTTATCTTTATAGAGATATCTCTCTTCTCTGTGGGAACAAAAAAATCTTTAAACTGTTTCCAAATCGTATAGACAAATTTTGATTAATTCTTGTTCCGGACAAAATATTTCCATGATGCCGACTGTGTGGATGGGGCTGGACCTGGGGAGAATCTTATTACCCTAGTGTTGCACTGTTTCTCGTTCAATTTCTTGTTAAGTTACAGCAATAATTTGATGGGGGGGGGTTACAGCACAAATAAATGACCAAACTCTGGATTTCAGCCGTAGCTCTCGGACCGAGCTGAAAGTGAAGCACCGTGGGAAAATGCAGCATTATTTTTACCAGTTACTGAGGGTTTAGGGTTGTCCTAGCAGCCATCCATACGTGAATCCAAGTAGAATGTATTATTATTATTTATATTTAGGGACCAACTCATGCAGTGGTTTGTGTCTGTTGTTCACTCACAAGTCACTTGTTTTTTTCAAAAACATCTTTTAAAATTCATAAGCCTTATATTGTAATATTGTTAAACTGCGACACTGCCACAGCGCTGGACCTAACCTGTTAGTGTCAGTCTTTCCATAACTATAATTTAGAAAATGAGGTATATGTGCAGTTTAGACCATGTTAATCAGTCTGCATTTTTTTTTTTTTTTTACGAAACGCACCTGGCTGACCTCATGCGATTCTCCTCTTTAGTGGGTATGGTGTGCTGCTCTTAGAAGTGCACGAAAGACATTCGCAGTCCAGGATTCAGGTTTGCACAGCTGATGCTAATTTGGTTGATGTATATCTTTGTGATAACATACAGATTCAGATCACCGATAGGTGTCATTATAAGTGCCAGGCAGTGTCTTTGCTATTGTTATTTAGGTGCTTTATCCAGAGGAGCAGTCTTGTGTTTAACCTGTTTTTACAGCTGGATATCATAATGCTTGGAAACTCGCTGAAAGGTACAACAGCCGAATCCCTTTGGCGTCACAGGGCCAGTTCCTTAAGCCTTCTTGCTGTTCCTGTTGCCATGGCGAATTCGAGGCCCCAGGAATGAAGTCGGGTCCTGTCTAGCACACATTCGTCACCCTGCTATTAAAGATTGTCCGCTGATGACCCTCATCTCGTCCTCTGTGCTAAACCATGGTCCTTTTCCCTCAGTCATTTTAAGATTGGTTTTCATTAGTCTCATTAGGTGTTACACATCGCTGTGTATTCAACAATTTTTACAGACAGTGCCATGAAACTAATAGCAGTAACTGTATAGATGATATAGACACAATAGGGTTATTTAGCCAAATCCCCATGAACTTCCTAAAGATCCAGAGTTGTCGCTCATCTGAGATCCCCATCAAAGCGAAGGAAAATACTGGGACTGACACAGGTGGAGGCCTGTGTTTTGACAGCGAAAGGGTTCTCTTACCAAAAGTTAATTTTGTTCTGCGGAACCCGCTGCATGTTTGCTTTCCTCCTCCTCCTGCCCGTGGCTTAATTGAGGACCCTGGTGGTCTCCTTGGAGGCCTGACGGGAAGGGTGTTCACAAAGCATCTGAGCTACATTCCTGGGCTGTAGAAGGGCTTTCGGACCGGCACCAAAAAGCCTTCCCTTTGGCTGTTGCTTACTGTGGTCTGATAAACGTCTGGCTTTAGCACGCCCCGCTGAGACTAGAAAACAGTGGGGTGGCGTGAGAGGTTTTCCTTTTCTGGGAGTCAATTAAGGAGGCCTGCAGCATCTCTCTCGGACCCTTTCTGCGTTTTCGGGGCGTTCAGCCAGGGAGACGGAGTCCCCCATTGCCGCTTTCTGTCCAGTTCTTCAGGCTGCGGCCCGTTTTTCCATGCAGGACCAAAGAGAGGATCAGAGAAGGGGCAGGGCAGACAGTCCGCCAGCTCGCACCTCGGCGGGCAGACGTTCGGGCTCCCAGAAGCACATGCGATGGTCCTGGTATGTGGGAGGGGCACGGGGCACAAACAATGGTGAAACAGCCCAGCACTTGGACCAAGTACAGCATGTGATGTAATTAGAGCTTGCCAGTGTTTACATCCTCCAAAGAGCCCTTCTCTCTGTTACCTGTATCGTTGCCATGGTGCCCCATTTTTGTAAATAGTACAGCCTTATTGTGCGTCTGACCTTGGCCATCCTGTGTTAAGCGCTCCGGTTAACCGAGCACCGTCCCCAGGCATAGACTGACGATGCCGCGCTCTGTCAGGGAAGGCCGATAATCCCACCTCTTGTTCTTGCCCTCCTTGTTCAAACAGAAGACTCTATTATGAAACGTGGCAATGCACAGGGTTTGAACAGAAAGCCATATGTCAGCCCATTGTGGACGTTACTGTAATCCTCCAGGGGCGTGCAGGGAGACCAGGATCCGCGTTCGGCGTGGCAGTGCAGCCGATGACGTGCTTTCGCAGCTGGTTCACTGCAGGCACCCGCCTTTCTTGCACATGGGGCCCATGTCCCCTTGAGAAGTACAGTGAGCAGCTGCTTCACCCAGTCTCTCTCTACCTTTTCTAGGCTGGTTTTCCAACCCAGTCCAGGCCAGAGCGACAACGGGCAGCGGTTCCTCTCCAGTGAGCTGGAGTCTCAGGAGTCACTGGGCACCACGTAGTGAAGCCAGCTAACTGGGGGCAAGGCCCACCTGGGACCGTTCACGTGGACACGATCAGAGTGGACAGCTGGAGCAGGCTGGACATTGGACAGGGACCTCCTGACCGAGCTGTCTGAAGTGACACCAGTTGTTTCTGGTAGACCTCACCTAAGGAGGACACTGATGCTGGGGGCCAGCTGTCCCCCTTAAACAGTCCACACTCTAGGACAAGGGAACTTATTACCTCCAGTTAGGTATGGACTGTATAGCCAGAGTCCACCCCCCCCACTGCTTGAGCTTGGGGGGGGGTAGCGAACTGACAAGATTTTATTTGTACATTGTGTGTCAAAGGGACAGCCCCCAGGGCAAGATTTCAAAAGGGCCAGAGACAGTATTGAAAATGCAGAAACACCAAGGTGGACTCCATATTTTAGAATGCCATAAACACAGTTTCCATCTCCACTCCAGCACATACAGCAGATCAAATGCCCCAGTACCCAATACCTGGGAAAACTCAGCAGTACCAGGAGCCCCCGCAAAGCAGCAAGCAGACCAGATCGCATTCTGGGGAATCACTTAGCACCCTAATACTTCCCAGAAACACAAAAACTGCCACAGCAAGTAGCTGGCCAGCGTCAGGCTTTCCAGTCACAGATGAGGTTCTGATTCTTCAGGTGCCAGGGGACAGATTGGCAGGACATTGTGTTATTCCACCTGTTTTTCAGCATTTCACCTCAACGGAGGCAGCAGGAGAAGAAACATACATCCGCAGCACAGGAATCACCTCACCGGTGCATTTCTCCAATACCAGGAGCTCCAAACAACTCGAAGGAGCACCTGCCCTATTGTTACTGTGTGACAACCTTTTACAGCCAAGCTCTGCATTGTATTAGTGTAATCTCATGACAGCCGATAGTGTGGGAGTTCAGGAGAAACTGGCACCCAGCTCGCTTTGTCCCACGACTCTGCATGCACCAGACTCCATGCCAAATCAGATGATTGCGTAAAAACCGTTGTACACAAGTCCAGTGGTGTGGTTTCTAAGCTCCGTGGAAAAAGCTGCAGGTGAGACTCCCTTAAGTGCTTCAACACTGTGCCATTACACCCTGACATCTGTCCACATAATTATATATTAAAGCCTTTCTCCAGGACTCCAAGCTAATTTGTCTTTTCAAAAGAAAAACGTAATTTCACAATTTCATAAGACAGCGGGTTGTTAGAGTGCCAAAACACTCCCGACTCCCACATAAGAGACGTAAAAGCTGAGATCAGCGTCAGTTGTGAGGGTGAAGGTCAGAGCCAGGACCTGCAGCTGGAAGCCATGAGCAACCAACGCTCCATCACTGACAAAACCTCCACCCCCACTACCCAAGCTAGTACATGTTCATGTTCACACTTAGGCCTGGTCCACACATACAAAGGCATTTTTAAAAATGGTGTTGTTCCTCCTCCATATGAAAATGCTAACAGCCAAACCAGCAGAGGGCGATATAACTAAAGCCATGTTGGCCAATCAGAAGCCTTATTACCAGGTCTGCTAGGCTAAAAACAGCTTATGTAAACAGCGAAGGGCACATGCTCTGACGTAAAACAAGGTGGACAACAGCATACAATCTGACGTTACAAGTCAAAATCTCCATTTCCCCCCACCCATCTACATGTCGACACTGAAACTTCACTCTGGACAGGGTTTTACAAAAGCTCCATTTTCAGTGACAAAAAACACTGCTTGTGTGTGGTCAAAAAGGTCAAAATGCATAGAAAAAGCTAAAGTTTTGAAAAATACCCATGAATTTGTGGATAAGGCCTTAGACTGACCTAAAACCTGGAAAAGCAGTGGTACACTGACCAATGTGCAGTTATGTCATATTCCAAAAAAGAAGTGGGGAACATTATTATTTAAATATTTATTCAGACAGAGGAAAGCTAAAAAACATAAAACATGCTTAAGTACTTTTTGCACATTTATACTGTATTAAAAAAAAAACCTTTCAGAGCAGGCATATTTACAAAGTACATCATTGGTTAACTGCTTTTTTAAATAATAATAATAATAAAAAAAAAAGGCAAAAAATGAAGGTAACTGAAAACCAACTAAAAACAGGTAAAACACACTCCCCAGTATCTTTTTAAAGAGCCCCCACCCCTCACAAAAAAATAAATAACGATTAAAAAAATCCAGCAGTGACCAAGCAGAAATGACAGACCTGATGTGAGACACAGGAGATCCTGAGGCCTGGTTCCTCATCATTAGGATGTGCGTTCTTGACTGGCAGGACCAAACAGCATTTAGGACTTAAACTCAGAAATGTAAACACTTTTATTGAAGTCTGTGGCAAGACAATAATGCCCAATTCATAATCAAGGAGCTTCAACTGACAGTCCTGGGTGAGGAGACAGGCAGGAGGGTCGAGCGTCTACAGGATGTCCTTGGCTGTGGAGTTGAGGAAAGCCTCGTTGCTGGCCTTCTTGGATAGCTCACTCTGAGGTGGGGGCAAAACAATCATCTCAAATGTGTCCTGGAAAACTCAGGTCAAACACCTGAGGTGCTAACAGGCTGAGAATGCCAGCACGGCAGCCTGAAGAACTGTTTACCAAGGAGGAGAGAAAGGCAGCAGAAGCTCACCATGAAGTCTGAGTAAGTGCCCATCCCCACGTGCTTCTCGCCCTTGACCTCCTGCAGTGGCGTCCTGTGACTGATCTCCATCGCTTTGGTCCTGTGCTGGACCTCGGGGAAGGCGGTGGTTTACAGGCAGCATAAAAATACAGCCATACAGAACACCCCCCCCCCCAACCAACTCCCCAAGGGGGAGATTTCGCCTTCAGAACACCTTGATTAAAAGCAAGCCCTGGTCATGCACTTCGGAATGTGGGCTACTGCTGCCCAAGGGGACAGAATAGTGCTGGTGCAGTGCTGCCACTTAGTGGATGATAAGAGGAAGTGCAAACACCCAAAGCCAATACACCCCCGGCTGGTGAAGGGCAAGTACCTTTTGACCAGACAAGGGGGGTTTGCCCGACACACTGAGGAAGGTGTTCGAGGTACTGGATGGTGTTGTAGTAGTGGTTCGAAGCACTGTCTGATTAGGAGTCTAAAAGGAAACATTTAAAGAAGCAAGATCCTTTGGTAACAATAACCCATTTAAATTCCCATATAGCCTGAACAAAACAGGCTGACAAACTCACCTTCTTCATCTTGCTGGGGGTGGGCTCTGCACGAGAGCTCCCAAGGGGCCTCTTGGTTGGCGTCTTTAAAGTAGCAGCCTCCCCCTTCTTTGTGACCTGTAGTTAAAACCAAGGGTGGTTTGTCACTGCCACAGGCTTGGACTATTCCCACCTGCCACCACTGGATGGCGCCACACTCACACGCTCATTTTTCTCCTTTCCCCGCTGAATTCGATGTTCTTCCCACATGGTGGAGACATACTCCGTGGCCCGTTTGCCCCGCACCAGAAATGCGCAGCCCTCTGTTCTCTCCCACTCCTCCACTGCAACCTTCAGTTCCTCCTCCAACTAAGAAGGAGAAAGACTCAAACACTGTATTCAACTAGGGTATGTTTATTACACTGTAAACACACTACAGCAGATAAATCAGGACACTTCCCATTAGCCTACAGCCATTTACAAACATCCATACAGTAACCAGTCTGCTCATCTGTCCAACATGCAAGTTCTTACCTTGGGCAGCATCTTCTGCACCTTGACCCTCTCCTTCTCCTCTTTGAGCAGAGCTCCCCCACGGTTGTTAAAGCGGTTAGGGTCTGACGCCTTCTTCTGTAATAAAAAAAAGCCTTGACCTTGTCACTGACCTTACTCGGGAAAACTCAGCACACAGATATTCAACCGGTAGATCTACTGGAACTGCAACCACATCACCCAAAGTTCTGCTGTACCTCAAAGTCCTGGAAGAGTGCCCAGGTCTTCTCCCATTTCTCCAAGATCTCCAGCAGGGGGCGTGCTTTCTCTTGCCAGGCCTTCACACGCGACAGCTCCTCTTCATGGCGTGCCAGCAGCTCTTCCGTGAAGTTACCTTTGGGCAAGCGCAGACAAAACATCGTGGATACAGCATCAAATTTGACTTGAAAACACCACACAAAAGAGAACATTTAGATAATCCCCATAAAGCATGAAAAGGGCAGGCTTCACTAGGTGCTTTTGCATTGCAGGAACCAGAACCTTTTCAGGAACCAGGAACTCCTGTCATGTTCCCACCATAGGAACTCAGCCCGATCGTAAGTCCTAGGAGAGAGTTCCTGAACCTTTTTACTTTCCATACTCCAAAGTAGATACTTTTCACTCGACAGAGAACTACTGGGTAGTGCTGATTGGTTGACCACAAGCACCAGCATTAACGTCGAAGTTACGTAAACTGTGGAGGAAAAATAAGCAGTGGAGAGCAAAAATTGAACAGATGGAATTATTTTTGTACCTCAATTACATTAAATGCATGAATACATTTTTTTGCTTGTGTCTCCATATTTCTGCATTGGAAAATTCTGTTGATAACTGACATGCATCTAATATCACTGGTGCAGGCGGTGAAACTTGCCAGTGCTTTAGTGGGGGGGGGGGAATGTCACTTTTTTCTGTGGGGAAAAGATTGACCCTGCTGGCCAGATTTAGTAATAAGAATGTTGCAATCCATATAAAAGAAAAAGAAAATCCTGTGTCCCATTTTGAACCAACATGGGGCGTGATCTGTCCTGTACTTTCGGACCGTGTAGCCGATCTTCCCCAATAACAAACAAAACAACTTCTTCATCCACCATTGTTTTGGGCTGGCAGTGGATACTTTGGTATGAAGATACATGTGAAGCTTTTCACGTCTCCTGTGCTTATTTAGCATAAAAATTCCAGTTCCTGTTGTGTGGTGGGAAAGCGACACGAAAAACTGGCCAGGAGCTACAAAGATTCCAGGTCGACGTGGCCCAGGAACTCAGACCCAGGACGCTGAACTTTGGCGTGAAAGTCAGAAAGGTTCATTCTCCATCTACTTACTGTCACAGAAGTGCCTACTAAAGGACTCCCTTCGCTCTGGCCCAAACATGCACTTGTCCCAATTGTAGGCCAGCTCCTGTCGAACCTTGTTGATCACATCCTCAAGCTTGACTTTCTGCAGCACCTCCAAGCGATCCACCTCATTTTGCCACTGGAGGGAGGGAGCCAGTTACCCTCAAATATTCAAAGTAAACCTTTGCACCACTAAACTCTACAATCTCCACAGCATCCCTGGCAAACTGGGGGAAGAAATCCCATTTCTTAAGGCTTCGATTCAGCATCACTGCTGAATGTTGATTGGCCAAAACTGACTAACATCTCACCCGTGCAATCTCCGCAGACAGCGTACAGTGCATGTCACCCTGGAGCTCCCTGCGTTCCTCCTCGGGGCACTCCAAACGATTCCACAGGCTGAGCGCCCGTCCTTTAAGCTCATCCCGAGTTGAGAGCAGCGATTCCTTTTTCACTTCAAGCTGTGAAAAAGCAAAGGTGGCATCTAAGAGGCCTAAAGCCAAAAGGAATAGCGGCGAATCATGTGACAGCAGCTTAACTTCTAAAGCATAGTGTATGGAAGACCAGAAGCCCTTAAACACAGGAACAGGAATTACAAAAACCCACACACCAAGATAACCACAGAAGGAAGACAGACTATCTTTGCAGCACAGAATAGGCCTTACGGAACTTATAGGGCCTGTGGTGATAAAGAGTTAGTCTAACTGGAAAACTTCCAAACACTGCCAAAATGGCAAGATTCCCCCCCCCCTCCACCTGATGACAGATTCAGCTGCAAATACTTCCAGCCCCCACCTGCTTCTTCAAACCAGAAGTTAAATTTCACCGCTACCAATACAGCTACCTACTCAAAGAAAAGGCAATTGCCCAGAAATGAAGGAAGAGAACAAACAGTCCAAACTGAGACGCAGCATGGGATCTGCAGTGTCACGTCACAGTCCTGGGTGTGGACAGTCCTAACGCTGCCCTCCCCACCCCCGACTAACCTGGCAGAGCAGCATCTTCAGAGCCTTGATGTTTTCATGGGTGAGCAGGAACACGTCGGCCTCGTTGCAGACAGACTCCCTCTCCAGGCTGGTCTCAGGTTCGTGGCCCATCTCCGCCATAAGTCTGCGGATGTCGTCCCTCAAGCCAGAAAAGA